GTTGAGAGGAGAGAGGTGGGAGTGAGGTCCAGGATTGGGGTGGAAGGGATTGGAGATAACAGTCAGGAGGGGCAGGGGTTGGAGGAGTGTAGGTAGAGGGATAAAGGTTAGAGAGTAAGATGTGGGTGTGGCTTGGGAAGAGCCTAGGGTGATAAGTAGAAGATTGGGAAGGTTGTGGGGTCACTGAAAAGTAGATAGGCATGTCGGGTGTGAGCTAAGATGTGGGAGGAACATGGGGGTTGGAGTGGGGGTGGGTCAGGGTAGGGGAGAGAGGTCTGGAGAGGTGTGAGCAGCATGAGACCACTTTCCCACTCCTAGTATTAATTCACTATGTTCTTGTCCTAGCTATAAACATCGCCTCCTCTCTGTCCCTGCTCCAGGATTCCTGGTTCCTGCTCCTTCCCAGAACCCCATGCTTACATTCCTTGGTGATGAGATGAGCTTCTGTGGATCTGGAGGTCCATCCTCAAGGACAGGCTTTGCCATGGCTCCCAGGAGGCTGCTTATTGACTGCCTGCCCCTTCCTTCACCCCCATACAGGGACTAGGGCAACTCTCTGGCCACAAGAGCCCTGGATCAGGGAGGCTGCCTGTGGGATGCAAGCTCACTGACTGCAAGCCTGTGTGATGATAACAGAGATCATTGGCCAACTTAGGGCTCTGTCCTTTACCCAGTGCCCTGAGCTCCCTGCTCTCAGCACCCCTCATACCCAGTGTTAGCAAGGAGTCCTGCTAGGAAGGAAAGCTGTCGCAGGTAGGAGGAGAGAGGAAGGCAGTGAGGCAGAAACAGCTGCCAGCAGAGTGGAGGAAGAGCAGGGCCCCAGCGGGTAGGGGCAGAAGGCAAGGCGCTGGCTCTGGCAGCCCCCCACCCTCTCTCTTTTTGTGGATGTTAGGACCAACCTCCTTCCCTAGCCCTCCCCATCCAGTGCTGCTGTTCAAGGAGCAAGCTTTGCTTACAGGCCTAAAATCCAGGCTGAAATAGACCTCAAAGGTCACCTGGTCCAACTCTGCTCATAATCTGGTGTTAGAGTTGCCTCCATGGCATTTTCCCCAGGGTTTCACCTGTATCGGGCCAAATACTTCCTGGGAGCAGAAGCTCACTTCCTCCTAAGGCAGTCTGTTCCTTCTTTGAAAGGAGGAAACTGAGCAACTCTGATATGCCAGGTTTAGGCACTGCACAGACTTTTCTCATTGATAACAACCTCACAGGGCTGTTACAATGAATTAGCTCCATTTTATAGGTAAGAAAGGTGAGGCTCAGAGAGTGGAGGTCCTTAGCTCAAGGTTACACAGGTAATAAATAAAGGAGCTAGGTTTGAACCTAGGACTTTCTAACTACAAAAGCCCTTTGGAGCCAGGCAGGTCACGCTGCTTCTTTTATACCATGTCAACTCTTCTGAGGTGTGAAGTCAGACAGCATATCTGTCCAAGTCTCCTCTTCTCTAGGTGGAACACCTCCTTCAACTCTCTCCAGAAGAACATAGGTTCCTGCCTCCTTCTCAGCGCAGTGTGAGACCCAAAACCAAACATACTCTCTGCCAGGTGGGTTTGGGTCAGTCTAGAATACATCAGAACTATCACATCCTTCCCTGGCACTCACCTTTACTAATGTAACCCTATGGCTGGTGAGAGAGCTAAGAACTGTCCCCCCCATGGGCCTCTATTCCCTCTTAGATGAATAGCTATGAGAGAAGAAGCCAGGATTTTGCCCCCATCTCCATCACTACTCCCATTCTGAATGTTCTGAAGAGAGAGCAAGAAAGAGATAGGGGTGGGGGAAGAGGCAATCAGAAAGGCAGGAGCATGGCAGAACTGGGAGGATGGAGAGCCAAAAAGGAGTGAGGTGGTTGTCCAGTAACCCTAGCTAGGGCCAAGAGAGTGGGGTGGGGGTTGGGGAAAACAGGGCTTGGAGGATGCACAGGAAGATAAAAGAGAGGTGAGGCACGACCCCAGGAGTTGGGAGAGGCCAGGGCGGGGAAGGGCATCCGCCTGGTTAAGTTAACATTGCCCTGCTGTGCGAGAGGAAGTCAGTCGCACATTAAGAAAATGTTGCAGCTGGTACTAAATTGGGACGTGTCACAGGTAGCAGCGAGGACAGGTATGATTCGTGGGGCCCTGTGTGGCCTAAAGCAGGGCAGATATTGCAAAGACAGAGAAGAGGGTTTCTGGGGCCACCCAGGGACGAGCTAACTGATGCACTCAGGATAGGGCCCTGGGGACAGGGGGTTACCTGGCTCTGGAACAGAGGCTCCCAGCTTGGTTTCCAGAAGTAGAGAAAGCCTCTTCATCCTGACCTGGGGATGCGGGTTCTATACTTGGAAGAAGCTCTGAGGGTGGGGCATCATCTCCCAGGGATCCCATTTGGGATGGGGACTGGACAGGAGGGTTTGAAGCCCAAGAACAGGCTTGGGGAAAGTCAAGGAAGGCCTTCCAGGGAGGTGGGGTGAGGGGCTGAGGAGAGAGGAGCCTATAGGAAGGAGGGTAGCAGGGCTGTCTTTTCCCTTAGTGCTCATCATACAGCTGGATTCAAGAGCCAGGTGGGTCTGGCCTCAGTTGAGGGAAAGAGCATTGGAAGAAGGGTGGGAAAGGCCAGAAGAGAGCTGTGGACCTGGCACTGCCCTTCTGCAAGCATGGCAGGCAGCGAGAGAGCAGGCAGAGTTTGCTGGTTTGCTGGAGAGAGACCGACAAGAAGACAAAGGAAAGGAGGGAGGGCCATCAGGAACTTGATGGAAGGCCATGGCAAAAGCATGAGCGTGGCACCAAAACACGTGGACTGGAGTCCTGGCACTCCTACTCATTAGCTAAGTGACCTTAGGGCAACCCGTTTAATCCCTTGCACCCGAGTTTCTTCATCTGTAAAATGGGTGTAATGGTGCTAGTATTAGCAACCTCCTTGATCTCATAACATATACGAGAGGGGCAGAAAACCCTAAGCATTACATTAATGTCAGATGTTATATTCTCATTACAAAATGCTATCAGCACTGTCTTCCCACAAAAGACCCAGGATGTGGACAGAGCAAGGATGATGATCCCTGCTTTACAAATGAGGAAATGAAAGCTTGCAGAGGTGAAGTGACTTGCCCAAGGTCACACCACTAACAAGAGATAGAGGTGATAAGGCCTCCCAAATCAGAGATCAGATGTCTTGCTCCTATGTCACACTGCTTCGTAAAAACAATCAACATGAGAGATTTGTGTTTATTTCAGGTCCAGACAGAAACTGGAGTCAACTACAACACGGAGAAAACCCCATGGGGAAGTTGTGGTGTGCCTCTCATTCATACTGGTGATTGAGGGGAAAACAAAACAAAACAAAACATGGGCCATGGGATTGAAGGGAGGGCCACAAAAGACAGACATCCTTGATTCCATCTGCCTGTGGACCTTGTCTCTCTGCTCCCACTGAGTGTATGTGTCCGTGGCTGACATAGAGGGTATGTGTCTCTATCTCTATATGACAAAATGTGTCCTTCTCCATGTGACAGTACTTCTGCCTACGTCTGACACCATGGGGAGATGTGCGTGTCTGATATGGCATCTGCTTCTATCACACTGTTTGTGGGTGTGACGACCTCTCTGCATGTCTGTGTGACTTTGCCTGGGGTGGTGGTGATGTTGTATAGCAGTGTGTGCGTGTCTATCTGTCTGTACACCTTTAAGAAATGGAATATCTCATTCGGTAGTGCCAGTGAGGCAGTGAGTCAGCTGAGGCTGAGGGAGGCGGGAGGGAGACTGCTAGGTTACGAGAGCAGGAAAAAGGAGAAGGAGAAAGTGAAGTCAGGACTGAGGAACTACCCCTTTCCTCCCCAACCCTCTGCCCCCAATCCCTACGGAGCCTGCCAAAAGCATGGAAGCCCTGCAGAAGTCCACAAGGGCCATGCTAGACAGTAAAGGGCACTTTCTGCCCCTCCCCAAAGTCTTGGAGGGAGATGAGCTAGGCTAGAAAGCAACTGTCTCACTCTCCAGCTCTTGGCCCAAGCTAGAGTATGTGAGGCCACTACCCCTCCCAGTTTCCTTGTCATTTGACCCTTTGACCTTGCTGTTCTCTTTCCTCCCAAAGGCTGGTCACCTGGCCAGGCTGGGCGAACAGAACAGTAGCATCAGGTCCCAAATATTTGCATCCCTCACCTACCTAACTGTTCAGAACAAGCCCGCTGAGGGTCAAGAAGTTTCCCAACACTCAGCTCTTCCCTAGGCAGGCCGGTTCTGCAGCTGCCTCACCTCTCCTCTAGATGCCTATCCCCAGCAGCCAGAAAGGCAGTTTTCCCTCCACTGTCACCCTCGGGTGCTAGGAAGGCACTGGGAGTTTTGAATGAGAATGCACCAACCTTCAGTGGCCTTCCCACCAGTCGCTGTTCCTTGTTCCCAGCTCCTTCCTTTATCAGGGGAGAAGAGCCTGCAGGTGCCTTCCTTGGGAGAAGACAGGCACCTCCTGGGCTCCACCTGCCTCAGCTCTGGCCAGCTACCTCAGGTCACATAAGGTCAAGAGTGTGGTGTGTCCCACCACCGGGAGTGCTCCTTTTCTCACCCACTGGCAGAAACCTAAATGTGAGGGTTTGGTTGCCAAATATTCTTCCTCCCATCTTCGGCCTTCCTCCTGCACCAGCCAGTCCCAGGACTTTCAATGCCAGCCTCGGAAAGGAGGCGGGCATGCCTGGCTAAGGATGGAGGCTGGAAGAGCACAATCCCTCCTGCCATCCCATTGTCAGCCCAGGGCCCGTGGCCCCTCCCCCCTCGTGAGGGGGCGGGATGCCGGGAAGCCCCAGGCCTAAGGTGCTCAAATCCGTAATTAATAAAAGTTGGCCAGGTGGTTACCTGACCTGAATCCCTGAGGCCCCTTCACTGGGGAGGGTCCCAGGGTGGCACGGGTAGTGCTGCACTGGGCACGGTGGGAGTGGTCGTGTGGGTGGAAAGGGAGAGTTCCCTTTTTCTCCCAGTCCAACTGCCGCCGCTGCCGCTGCCCAGGCAGCCGTAGTGGCTGCGGACGCCAGTCCTTACCTTACAGCCTTTCGTGCAGGACCGTATTGAGTACTCTTCCGCCTGTAAGTATTTATGCAGCACGAGGTCGAACTCATCATATTTTTCCTGAGCATGTCGGTCCAGCCGCTGATACGCCTCAATACAGTTGCTACACGCCTCCCAGGTCCCGGAGCCCGGACTGGCCACCACGGCCAGCAGGTCCCCCAGTAGGGTATCCAGGCTACAGTCCAGGCTCTCAGGGCGGTCCATGCCCAGCAGCAAGTCCCAGACCGTGTAGGTGTCACAAAAAGAGAGAGTGAAGTTCCGAAAGTGGCCTTTGAGCAAGTTTTTCTTGGCGGAGGGGAACTCGGCCGGGGCACGGGAAGGGGAGTCAGGGGGCCGCAGAGGCGGGGCCGGGGTAGTGGGTTCGAAAAGTCTCTGCAAAGATTGCAATTTGGTACATGCTGCGTCCAGCCCCTTGGGCTCTGGGACGCCACCACAGACCGGCCGGGAGCCGGCGGCGGGGGCGGCTTTGGTCAGGTTGCTGTATCTGGGGCCGCAGGCGCCCGGGGGTGCGCTGGGCTCGCCGGGCGGCGGCGGTGGCAGCGGCAGCATCGCGCGAGGAGGCACCCGCTGCCGCTCCCGGCCGGCACCCCAGGGCGGCCTCATGGCACTGCTCAGCTCCTTGGCCCGGGGCCGGGCCCCCGCGCACAGCCACAGATGGTCAGCGAGCAGCACGGTGAAGAAGAGCAGGGACGCCAGGGACAGTCGCCATCGCTGCGCCCGCTCGGAGTCGGCGCAAGGTTTGTCACTCGGCCTGGGAGCCCAGCAGCAGCAGCAGCAGCAGATAGTCAGCGCGGCGGCGTCTTTCCCGGGCCACATCCAAGCGCCCCTGAACATATTTCAGGGGGGTCCGGGCTGGAGGGAGTAGGCAGGCGCGATGCCGGACGGCCGTCTCGGGGGTGTGGGGGGGAGGGCTGCGCGCCGCTCCGCGCTCCTTGGAGCCGTCCAGGCTCTACCTCGGGGGCTGCATGGTAAGGCAGGCAGGCCGGCCGGGGACCCCACTCAGGCCGGAGTCGCGGGGCGCTCTCGTGCCGTCTCCACGCCGCTCCCGCGCTCCCTCCCTCTCCGCTCGGGCGCAGCCGCCCGGCCCGCTAGGCGCTGCCCGGCGTCCCGGCGGGGGGCGGTGCGGGGCACTGGGGCGGTGGCGGCTGCGGCGGCGGCGCCGCACTCCTCATAGTGTCGGGCCCCTCAGCTGCCCTCTGCTTCGCGCCACTTCACTCCGCGCCAGCAGCCGCCGGGCTCGCACTCCAAACCGGCCGTCTCGGTTCGGCGCAGCTCTGCACCCCTCAGCGCCGCCGCGCGGGCCCCGCCGCCGCGCTCCGCTCCGCACCCTTCGCCCAGCGCCGCTCCGCTCCCTCCCGTCTGCCCGCTGCCCGCTCCTCGCGGTTCCCTGCCTCGCTCGCACCCTCTTAGGCCGGCCGGCCGGTCCGCTGCCGGGCCCTTTGGTCTTCGGTGGCGCTCCGGGTGTTCGCCGGGGCCAGTCCTGGGCTGGCTCCGCTCTGGCTCAGCACCCGCTGCTGCTGGAGTTCCGGCTCGGGCGGGCCACCTGGCTCCAGGCAGCGCCACAGGCGCCGGACGCCGACACCGGGCTCTACTTAGTGCGCCTCTAGCTTCCGCCTCTCGTTCGCACCGCTGTGGCGGCAGCCTAGCGGCACGGCCCCTTGGCTCCCGCTGGCCATGCCCCCTCAGTCTGTCGCCATCTTCCGCTGTGCGGAGAACACCTTGAGAGCCCGTGTGCAAGTGTGTTTGGGGGGGGAGCGGGGCGGAGAAAGAGGCACGGAGAGGAGGAGGGAGCGGGACTGGGGCCCCGACTGCGCCTGCGCCTCAGGACTCCCCCCCCCCCCCCCCCCCCCCAGCCCCAGCCCCCGCTGGCCGCAGCCGGTGCTGTTTGGGGATGTTTCCAGTCCACCCCCAACTCCATTCACTTCAGCTCCTCCGTTCATTCGGCCGCTTTCCGCGTGCACGCGCCACACGCTAAGTCCCAGGCCCGGGCGCTCTCCCTCCCCCCACTAACCCGGGCGCCCACCTCCCTCCCCAAGGCCATCCCTCACTCCCCCAAGGGCTAGGGACTTTCGAGGGTGATTCTTGGAGGCTGGGGGCAGGAGGCATTTCGCAGCTGCTCGCTGCTTCTCTGGGTCGCCTCCGCCGTCCCCGTGACTGGGAGACGCTCGAGCTGGCTGCGGATCGGACCAGTCCGGTGTCCCTAACTCCATTGTCGCCCTCACCGTCCGGCCCGAGGACAAGTCGGCCCTTGGTGCTGAAGGACAGCTCCCAGCTTAGCTGCTGAAGAGGACTGAGTTTGGAGAACATCCAGGAGTGGGCAAGGCAGTGGGGTAAGATAGTAGTGGTGGGGTGTCAGTGTTTGCCCTTAGGAATATTTCCAGCAGCCTCCACCCCCACCCCGCCCCAGCACCAGCCACCGGTCCTAGCTTTTTGGCTCCCCCTACAGGCTGCTGAGGATAGGTGACGGAGAGTTAGGGAAGCTGTGCCGCCGGGATGGAACCATGAGCTTGGGGCCCTCATAGAGTCACATGGCACTAGGAACTCGGATGTACAAACGTCCTACCACGCCACTAACCTTGTTTGGACCCCTCTGGCGCTGCGTTCTACTTGCTTTCCTCACTCCCAGTAACTCTCACATTGTAATTTTTTGTCAACCGTTGCTGGCAAGGATTTGTTAATATTAAGAATATTAACAATAAAGAAAATAGCCTTAATTGAGCTCTTATTATGTGCTAGGTACTGCTCTATACATTTTGCATGCATTCGTCATCCAATCTTCACAACGGTTTTATGAGATAGGTACTACTGTCATCTTCATTTACACACAAAGAAGCTGAGGTTTAGTGTGGTTAAATTGCCTAAGGTAACCGGAGCACCTAAAAAGGAGACTCAGTCTGACTCTAGAGTCTTCTTAATACTCCAGTAAGGCCCTGGAAAGATGAAAGAGCCAAGGCATTCCTGCCTTAAAGGAAATTATAGTCTATATAAGGAAATGAGACATGTATATTGGCTAGTGGGAGGATTCATGAACCAGCGCCTTGGTAATAACTCAACTGCTGAAATGCTGTGTGCCCTTGAGAGCGTCTTTTCCTTTTCTGAGTCTTGGTTTCCCCCTGAGTAACCCGAAGTGATGCCAAGGGTTAGATGAGATGGGTGGACATTGTTAGCACTATTCAAAGGCGGGCTGGGTTGGGTTCATAAAATGTTTCTGGAAGAGGGACAATTGGAGCTCGTTTCTAAAGTAGCAGGATTTGGGTGGGTGGTTGGGAAGGGCATTCTAAATAAAAGGAATGCAGATGAAAAGTTTCAGAGGTAGTGAGCAGCCTTGTATGTTTGTGAAGCCATAAGTGTGGCAGTTTGGCTATATTGATGGTGAGAATTTGTGGGGAAGGGAGTAGCAGGAAATGAGACAAAGGACAAAACTGTCAGGCATTTGGGAGGCCTATTTATTCATTATGTTTCAAGCACTGTGCTAGGGGCTAAGTAGGGTACTGAGGTGAGTCAGACAGCCCTGCCCTTGAGATACTCGCAGTTGGATTAGAGAGGCACACATGTTAAAGAAGAAATTGCAACCTAGTGCAGTAAGGATGGTAGGTGTCCCTCCCGTAGAGGGAGGGACCAGTCAACTTTTTCAGATACCTTCAGAGATGACTTTGGGCACAGCCACTGGAGTTGAGTCATTCATTCATTGGTTCGTTCCTTTGTCAAACATCTATTGAGGATCTATTACATTCTAGATGCTGTATTAGGCATCAGCAATATGAGTAAAATACATGTCTTGGGCTGAGGGAGTTTAGTTGAAGCCTTAAGGGATGAGTAGGGACTGGCCAGACAGGTAGCAAGGAAGGTGGCATGTGAAGGATGTCCCAGGCAGTGGGAATGTTTGTGCAAAGGCCCAGAAGCAAAGTCAGGAATGGTATGTTCAGAAACCTCCAAAGTGGTTCATCATGTCTAGGTGTGAAGTGGGAGCACTGCCAAAATGAGGTTGAGGATTTGGCAGGAGCCAAATCATGAAGGGCCCTGGGTGCCATGCTAAGTAGTTTGTACTTTATCCAAGGGTACTAGGAGCTGTAAAAGATGATAGGTTTTCAGCAGGAGGTGACAGGATCAGACTTGTATTTTTAGAAGACTAATTTGCCTGCAGCATGGAGACTGGATTGGAGGGAGTGAGATGGCAGGCAGGGAGACTAGTTGGGAGACTGGTTAGTAGTCCAGGTGAGAGGTGTTGAGGGCTGAACAAAGGCAGCAGCAGTGGAGACAGAGAAAAGAAATGCACATGAGAGGAAAATGAAATAAGTAGAATTGAAAGGACCTAGGAGGCAGGGCCAGAAGGAGGATGTTTAGTCCTTGGAGGGTTCAGTGTTCTGTTTAACAAAGAAAGCTAATTGCTTACGGATACCTACTTCGGAGGTGATTGGCAGGGCCACACTGATTGACACCCTTGAGTGCCAATGGAAGAGCAGACTGCCAGGTCTAGGCTATCAGCTCTGAGCACCTCTGGAGCTTTCTGTGGGAAGTCACTCAGGCAAGACTCCCTCCCTCTCCCCAAGCACACACAGAGCGAAAAGTGTCTCACAAAAGTCCATTTATCACAGGAGCACAATATAACAATAACTTACCCACACAATACCCACTGCACACAAAGAAGAAGTGCTAACACACTGTCAGAGGAGGCTCTCATTCTCTCATTCTAGATGACCCAAGAAATTGGGATGAGGGAAGGGAAGGCAATGGCCTCTAATCAGCCCCTAGAGCAGACTAGCCAACTTGGGGAGGAGGACTGGAGTGGCCCGCTGCTCCCCTCGCCCCACCTCCAGAGCTGGTGGGCCCTGGCTAGTCCTTCTCAGCCCTTTCTTTCCACCTGCTCCTGGATTAGTGGAGGCTAAAGCCAGGGGATAGAGGTGGGTTACTCCTGAGGGAGCCCAGACTGCACAAGAAGAGCAATAGAGTGCCCTCAAACCAGGCAGCGGGGAAGATAACTTGAAGGAGAGGGAGAAGGGGATGGTTTCTTGCAGTGAAATGCTGACAATTAGGAAGAAGACAAAGTGGGAGCTGTTTAAAGGGACCAATGTGGATCAGGAGCTTTCTGTTAAGCTCAGCTCTTAAAAGGTCATGGGGGAAAAAAGATGGAAAGAAGGGCATGTAATTAAGGGTGAATCTGTAAGAAGAGCGTCAGGATGGCTAAAGTGCAGCTTGAGCTGATGCTTGTCAGGCTCTGTCTGGATCCCACTCTCTGGCCCTTCCTCCCTTCATAGTTGGAGTAATTTATCTCCTACTTGCGGGCTATCTTTGTCCTAAGACAGGAAGGATTGAAGTAACTCTGGTATGTACACTGAAACTCAGCATCAAGTCATCCCTTCACCACTGATCTGAGTCCAATCTCAAGTTTCCATTGAGAATATTCCTCATTCCTCATTTATGATCCCTAACCTTCGCTCTCATGTCCTGTATCTGAGTCCCTGATTCAGAAACCCTGACTGCCTCTACCAGTGCCCTATCAAGGCCTAGACCCAGTCATGCTCTTTTAGTCCACCATCCAGGAAGGAAGTCCTGACCCTAAGCCTTAACCCAGTCACTGAGAGGCCTGGTGACCCACTGACAGATTCCTCTAATCCCAACTGCCCACTTGTAGTTCTACATATCTTCTCCTTCTGCATTCCTATAGTCATGTTTGTCCTCCATTTGGACCTCCAGTTTTTCTGTTATGTGGGGTTGCTATTTTAATTAGGAATATTTTTGGCTGCAAATACCAGACAACTCTACAATAGTGGCTTAAACAGATAGAGGCTTATTTGTCTCATTCAACAAAAATTTCCTTGATAGATGGCACAGATAGGACTG